CAGAGGAGCCTGACAGGTTACAGTCCATGGGGTCAAAAAAGGATTGGACACGACTTAGTGACTAGCACAGTATGATGAGCATTATCTATCTACTGAGAGCTAATAGCCAGTGAAGAGACCAAATCACTTCTGGCCTCTTATTTGTTCATCTGTCAATCCACTCATCTGTCCAATCATTTCATCCCTCCAAACTTCTGTCAATCTATCCAACCTTCCATCCACCCATTCAACTTTCCATCCATCCATCCATCCACTCATCCATCCATCCATCCAACTTTCCATCTATCTACTCATCCATTTATTCATCCATCTATCCATCCATCAACTCATCCATCCATCTATCCATCCATTGATCCATCCATCCATCTGTTGATCCATCCATCCATTCACTCATCCACCCTTCCATCCATCCATCTCTTTATCCATCCATATATCCACTCATCCATCCACCTATCCAACCATCCACTCATCCATACATACATCCAACAAACCTCTGAATGAGTGCCCCCATGTACCAGATGCCTTGCTAGAACCTGAGGGTCTAGAGATGCTGAGATGAATAAAACAAAATATTGGAAACAGCCCATGAAGAAAATTTTCATGGCAAAGGAGACTTCTCAAAGACACCTAGAGATAAGTGCAGGTAGATGAGGTGACCTAACAGGGAGTCAAGCCCCTAGAGTTCAAAGTCCAGCCCTGTCACTAGCTTGCTGCAAGGTCTTGGATATGTCCCTTCTCTCTTTGTTTAACAATTGAGAGAGTCAGACTAGCTCAGAGGGCCGGTGGACACTGTGTAGGTAAGATTTCCTGAATGGGTAGCCTTTTGAGTGGGAGGTTGTAAAGCTCCAAGGGGCCAGGGGATGGGAGCTCCCTTGGTTTACAGTGACAGGATGAGGACAGAAGATGCTGGAAGAATAAGAATGAGGAGATGAAGGATGGGGAGTCCGCCCCAGCTCCACTCCACTGTGTGGATCTTCAAAGCATTGATCTGCTTTTCTTAACCTGCTGTGGGTCACCGAGACCTGGATCTCTGATTCCAGGTAACTGACAAGGCCCCTGTCCCTTTGTCCTCCCTTCCCCACCTCTGAGCTCCTGTCTCCCGCAGCTGTGATAACCCACACGTAGCACTCTGCCCTCTGGAATTTATTTTAAGGTCTTAGCTTGTTTATTTATTTTATTTAGAGATTTCTCGGTGCTTTGTGGGGAGGAAAATTCGAATGGGGTGATTATGAAATACTATTTCACCTCGCTGTTCATTCACAACAAACAAAGAGAAATGATTGGTGATTAAAAATGCATTCTCTCTGCTTGTTTTCTTTTGTTTTACCATTATGGAAATATTATAAATACTGAATACTAATCTGGACCTGCAGGGACCTCACAGACCTTCCAGAAACCAAGGCGCCTGCTCTTCCCTGGGGCAACCTCACGCTTTCTCATCAGGCCCAAAACTATGGCTCAAACCATCCTGAGAGGGTCCTAGGCCGGAAGACCCATCGCTGAGTCCTCACTGGACAGAGATAGAAGTTGCCTACTTCTTTGTCCTATTCCCTACTTCAGCAGATCAAGTCAAGGAGAGCAGAGCTGTGAGTTGGAGGGCAGGTGTGCTCAGTTGCTCAAGAGTGTCCAACTCTTTGCAGCCCCATGGACTGTAGCCTGCCAGGCTCCTCTGTCCATGGGATTCTCCAGGCAAGAATACTGGAATTTGTTGCCATGCCCTCCTCCAGGGAATATTCCCCACCCAGGGATCAAACCCGTGTGTCCTGCATTGGCAGGCAAATTCTTTACCACTGAGCCGCCTGGGAAGCCTGTGAATATGGAGCACACTTGATTAATCCAAAAGTCATGATCACAGAGCTTAACTCCCAGGATGGGGCTGCCTGTGCCTCTCTGCTCTGCTGTTTCTTGGCTGTGTGACCTTGAGCACATAGCTTTGCTTCTCTGAGCTTCTGGTTTTTTACTCTGTAAGATGGGGATGAAAATGGTACCTACCTCATAGGGTCTCTTTGAGGATTAAATGGGATCATAACAGCTCAGATGGTAAAGAGTCTACCTGCAAAGCAGGAAACCCAAGTTAGATCCCTGAGTCAGTAACATCCCCTGGAGGAGGAAACGGCAACCCACTCCAGTATTTTTTTCCTGAGAAATTCCATGGGCAGAGGAGCCTGGTGGGCTACAGTCCACGGAGTTGCAAGAGTCGGACAGGACTTAGCCACTAAACCACCAGCCACTACCACCATAACATCTTATCACAGGGCCTGGCAAACAGAAGTGCTCCATAAATGTTGGCTCCTATACCGATGAATATACCAAACTCCGGGAGATGGTGAAGGAGAGGGAAGCCTGGCGTGCTGCAGTCCATAGGGTCACAAACAGTCAGACATGACTTAGCGACTGAACAACAATACTGATTAATACTCTCTTCTTCCACGTTTCAGTTTCTCCCTCTGGAAGGTGAGAGAGGCACACTAGCTGCCCTCTAAGCTCCCTCCAGCTTTGATGGGGGACACTTCTGTGTGCAGGACAGGGTACCCTGTGGACAATCCTCACCCACCTTGACTCTCTCAAAGAGCTTGGCCCCTTCCTGGAATGCTGGCTGTAGCTGCCTGGGGCCTTCTGTCAGAGTCTGTTTTCCATGGGCTCTTTTTGAGCCATAAACCAGGCACTTCCCCATTTATTTCAATCACAAACAAATAAATAGGAGTCAGAGGGCCCGCTCCAATTCCAAAGTCTTACTCCAAGTCCAGATAAACAGTGAGGTCCGTGGCGTCTGCGTTCCTTTTATCTTTCACTTTATTTAACCAAATTAACTGCTCTCCATGTCCCCTGCGTGTGAGTGTCTCTCTCTGTCATATAAAATACAATCACGCTTGCTTGCTACATGTTTCAGATACTTTATCATTAACATCAATTCCAGCCAAATTAGGAGTTTCTCCCAACATAATTGCCCTTCCCATTATCCAGCACTTTATTTTTTCAAAGCACTTTCCGACCATTAATTAGTTAACCCTTAGGACGCCCCAGAGCCGGCGCTCAATGTCACCCTCCCTGTCTCCCAGCTGGGAAGGGGGATGTGGGGAGGGGTCAGGTGGTTTGTTAGAAGTCACCCTGGATATGGGGGCTGAAGGCTACAGTAGGACCTTGGTAACTTCCTTCCAGCCTCAGACCCTTTGTCTGGGCCGGATCCAAGCCTGGGGTGATGGGGCAGGGGGCAGGGGTGGTCCCCAACACTTTTAAATCCACTCATTCCCGATCTCCTTAGCTCACCAAAGGAAAGAGGAAGCAAAATAAAAGATCAGCTGGGTGGTGGCACCTTCTTTGCTGTGGGAAAACAGGGCAGAGGGAAGGGAACAAAACCCCCAAGGGACAAGGGACAAGCAAGTGCTATGGCTATGACCCAAACCATTGACTTGCTCCCACCACCAACAAGCAGCATTGAATGTCTGAAAGTGAAAGCTATGTCCAACTCTTTGAAACCCCATGGACTATAGCCTGCCAGGTTCCTCTGACCGTGGAATTCTCCAGGCCAGAATACTGGAGTGGGTAGCCATTCCCTTCTCCAGGGCATTTTCCCAACCCAGGAATCGAACCCAGGTCTCCCTCATTGCAGGTGGATTCTTTACCAACTGAGCCACCAGTACTAGCACGTGCCAAGGTAGCAGCCTTACCACCAGAATGTCTGTAAGTAAATGAAGTGCTTTTGGTATATAGTTATAATTACTGACAACCAAAGTAAGGGAAGACGTGGGAGTTGATCACTTGGGCTGTCTCTCATCCCAGCTACTGAATGGGGCTCAGTTCCCTCCGTAATCCTGCCAATACTCCATCCTTTTCTGGTGAGGTGCAGTCATAGTCTTGGTTGGTCCCAAGCTAGATGAGCAACTGGAAACTTTGGAGCAGACATCCTAGATGGATTAAGGTGGGAGCCATCTGGGGGAAAACAGAGTGATTTATTTCTTGGACAGGGTTCTGGCTCGTCAAGATGAACTCTGCTTACAGCTGCTAAGGATATACTGTCGAACCACCAATATTTTACATTTACAGCCTCTCCATAGTCCTAAGTTCCTTAATGATTTTTTTTTTTCCTTAAAATACATGAGCTGGCTCCCACAGGGACATTGCCAGGAACCTTCAGAGAGGTTTTCCAAGCTGTCGTTAACTCAGAGCACAGTGCATTCCACAAGCTCTTCTATTTCAGCCCCTCTTCTTCCCCCCAGTTGCCTTGAGGTTGGGGCCACATGTGCTAAAGCAGCTTTGCTTGTTGGAGACCAGCTACCAGTCTGGGAATTTCCCCTGTCCATTCCCTACGCATCCCAGCCCACCATGCTCTATGAAGTCAGAGTGCAGGGAGCTTTGGCCACCGGAAGAATAGGCTCATCCAGGGAGCAAAGCTCACACTGACCATTCACTGTCTGCAGTCATACATCCTGGAGTCTGAATCACAACTCTGCCACTCGCTAGCAAGTTTGACCTTGGGCAAGGTGACCTCTCTAAGCCTCAGCATTTCAATTATCGCGTGTTATTGCGAGAATCAACTGAGATAACATAGGTGAAGGTCTTAGTACAGTTCCCAGCTCGTAGTGGGTGCTCGTTGGACGTGAGCTCTCATTTTGGTCACGGAGCAGATTGTAGGCTTTAGTGTGACTTTCATTCTTTCAACCTCCTACCCCTCATTGTCTCTATCTAATTTCTTTCAGGCTCTGCGTCTGAATATATAAGTAAGGCGATGTGATTAAACCATACCCTAGTTCTCCAGCTCTTCCTTTTGTGGAAGAGAATAGGCGTAGAAAGAGACTGAGACCTGGTTGGTCCCAAGCCTCCCATCTGCCATCCCCGAAGTGTTACCTTCTGCACGGCCCTCGTGCTTTAAGTCTGGCTCCGTTGCCGGTTGTTGTAAGCAGCACCAGGGCAGGACGATGTCTAGTCCGTCCAAGGCTGCATCGTGGATCCTATCCAGGTACCTGGCCTATGGCTGCCACACCACAGAGACCAGTGAATACCTGAATTGGCCATTCTTCCTTCCAGACTAGGATTTTATTTTCCATCTCTTTTAAACTTCTGGAGCTCTACGCAATAGTAGGTAATAGCTCCAGACAAAAGCCTTGGAGCACTCTTTCCTTGCTGCCCCTGCTTGTCTAGCTTTCCTAAAAAGGAAGATCCTACTCAGTCTCCCCTAAGCAACTATTTTCCTGTAATCATGCATGCGTTTGTTCACATACTCACTCAGCAAGCGTTTGCTGATTGTCAAGTGCAGCTAACCTGGGTTGGAATCTTGACTAGCTGGGAGAACTTAGACAAATGACTTAACCCAGTTGATCCTCAGATTCCTCATCTGTAAGAGGGGCTAAGAATGCCTAGCCTGTTGTGAGGAGTTGATAAGACTTAAGGAATGCCTTGCACTTAGCATGGTTCCTGGCACTTAGTAGGCCCTGCATAAATGGTGTCTATTTTTATTGCAGGTAGAACTCAGTGTTAGAACCCTAAAAGGTGCAGCTGAATTTGAGTCTCTGTAAAACTTTCTGTAATGAAAAAAAAATCTTCTGTAGAATCATTAGTCCATTTTGGTGCCTAAACAATGCAATCCCTGACGTTTTATGACATGTTGTCAATTCACAGAGTGCTCAGCTGGAGATGCTGTCTCTTGCAGGATTGATACCCTCATTTCACATGAGAAAATTAAAACTCAGAGAGGTTGTGTGGCTTTCTTCAGGTCACAGAGCAGAGGCATGTGGCTAATCCAAGAGCATCAGACTCAATTTCCAGCACTTTCCTCTACCATTCCCCTCCCCTGTCTCACCCTCCTCCACTCCTTCCTCCCCACCTCTTGATGATAACTTTTACTTACAACAGATGTGGCCTTCTCCAGCACCCTTGACTGGTCACCTGGCACTGGGCTGAGACGCCCCATGCAGTTTCACTGTTAGAGGGGGGCTTACACTAGAGACCCCACAGGTGCTACTTCTGTGACACCAACAGTGGAAATCACCCATTTCTGTGACCCAGCTTTTCCAGGTGATGCTGACAGAGTGTAAACAGGTCAAACGTGTTAGAAAAAGAAGGATCAGATGTGGTCTTGAAGAACCTACCTGCCAAAGCAGGAGATGTAAGAGAAGTGGGTTCGATCTCTGGGTTGGGATGATCCCCTGGAGGAGGGCACGGCAACCCACTCCAGCATTCTCACCTGGAGAATCCCGTGGACAGAGGAGCCTGGCAGGCTATAGTCCATAGGGTCACAAAGAGTCAGACATGACTGAAGCAACTTAGCAGGTACCCAGCCTGTGGCTCTCCTTTCAAGGACCCATTCAGACCCTCACCCAGTGTCCCTGAGTCTGGGCACTGAATAGGCAGCCCCTCATCCAGGTACAACCCGGGCAGCCCAGGGATGGAACCTTCTTTCCAGCTGGGTCCTCTGAGGGATACTGGGCCATGAGCCAGGGTGAGAGGGCCATCCTATCTGCCCTGCAGCCCCTAGTTCAGTTCAGCTGGAACTGCTGCTCCTCCTCCCTCACTAATAGCCAGAGGTCAATGGGGCTCAGCCTTTGACTTTCAGCATCTCATTGAACCTCATAGACAGAGGCTGTCATCATTCCCATGTCATGGATGGTCAGACTAAGACTTAGAGAGGTGGCAATTCTTAGCTCTGTGCTCCCAGCACCTGGGCTTGTGCCCAGCAGGTACATGGTAGATGCTTGATAAATGCTTGTGAGATAAATAGAAACATGACCAAGAGAGTGAATAAATGAAAGAAAGCAGCTCCTATTAATCAGTGGGAGGAGGAGGGGGAGGTACCACGTGCCAGCCACATTCTCGAAAATTTCAGTTAGCTGTTTACTCTCTGCGGCAATCCTATGGGTAGATACCATCTTCATCACCTTTATACATGCAAACCAAGACTCAAGGAGATTAAGTCAATCCCTCATGGGCACACACATAGCAGGTGGGGGCAGCTAGGAAATGAACGCAGGTAGTGGGGCTGCAGGACCTGTGTGTGTTACCCCTCTATGCCATGGAAGATAAGCAAATGGTGATGGGTGGGGAAGGAGGGGATGAGGGGCGTCCAGGAGCTCTGCCCCCATGGGCATCCTTCTGCCTCTGCACCACCAGTGTTTCCAGCAAACATCCAAGCGGGGGGAAGCATTTTCTCTAAGTCCTGACCGCCCTCCCCGGCACATTCCCACCGTTACCTACACAGGGAATTAAGACTCAAATCCTCGTTTGACACGATGCAGGAGGATGCTAAGTACTTAAGCGCTAATTAATTAGTGAGCTGTACCCGCCGCCACCAGCCACTGGAGGAAACCTCAAACAGACCCCCAGAGCGTCAGTGCCCTCCCCGCCACAGAGGCTGGAGTCCGAAGCACCACCAGCCAAGCAAAGGGGGCAAGCAGAGAGGAGGGGCTGCCCGGGAAGCCCCAGGCCCAGCCTCTGGTGAGAACAGAGTCCAGACCAGCTCTGACCCCTGCCTTCTAGGCCTCAGAAACCAGTGGGGGTTGGAGTTCTGGGACCCTGCCTTGCCTGGGGCTCTGGAAGAGACTCTCAGCCTGGGTTTGTCCAATGAGGCCACAGGCTCTCAAGACAAGGCCGGATTCCAGAGGCTGCACTGACCTCCCGTAGTTTCTGGACAGTTTCTGGAGCCCTTTGTTGGGGGCAACACAGTGACTGAAACCGCCCACCAACACAGTGACTGAAACCGCCCACCCTGGCTGGGCACCATAGTAACTATTTGCATGAGTTTTTTTATGACAAGAGGTCTTAGTAATGAACACAGAACTAACAAGCCACCACCAACTGGGAGAGTTTGTGAAAGATCAAAAGGAGATTTCACGTGTCCAGCCATCTCCCCAAATCCTCCTCGCTGGCATCCATCTTGGCTGAGCAATGCATGCACCACCAGGAAGGATCCTGAGTCAGAAAGATTGGCCAAAGAAAACCCAGAAAATTATCCATCACCATAAAACCCAAGACTTTGAGCCACGTGGCAGAGCAGTCTTCCTGGTTTCCCCTACCCTCCTTATCTCTGCCCTGGGCATTGGGATCTTCCCAATAAAGTCTCTTGCTTTGTCACACACATGTTTCTTTGGACAATTCATTTCCGAGTGTCAGACAAGAGTCCCCTTTCAGGCCCTGGAAGGGTCCCCCTTCCTGCAACACCTTAAGACCAGACGGAAGCATCTTATTACCCCCAGTCAACTGGGATGCGTTTCTCAGAGGCTAGACCAAGGGGCAATGGGGCCTTCCAGTACTGATGGGCAGGGGTGTCCTAAAGCCAGCTTCACTGAAGGGGCACCAGCTTGGAGTTGAGCTCTTCCCACTCTCTTGACCTTGGTCTTACCATCTGTTTCTGGCCAAGGTCAATCTCCCTCACAGGGCAGAGGGTAACTGGAATCTAGGCCTTTGGAGTCAGGCTGGGTTTGACTTTTTTTTCTCCCATTTCCCAGCTACGTGCATGACCTCAATGCAAGTCACTTTCTGAGCTTCAGTTTTCTTAGTTGTATAATGGGACTCACAGATCTGTTCGTGAGGGTACGTGAGGTGATACATGTCAAACGTCTTATGTGGGGTGCCAGGAACATAGTAATCACTCAATAAATGGTGGGAGTCATAATAGTGGATGTTATCATTATAATCATCTAAGGAATCTTCACACTTGACTCTCAATTCTTTGACCCTATAGGGTGACCAATCATCCTGGTTCACTCAAGGGTTTGGTGCTATGTGTGTCTGTTAAGTTGTTCAGTCATGCCCGACTCTTTGCAACACCATGGACTGTAGCCAGCCAGGCTCCTCTGTCCATGGGCATTCTCCAGGCAAGAATACTGGAGTGGGTTGCCATGCCCTCCTCCAGGATCTTCCCAACCCAGGGATCGAACCCAGGTCTCCATCATTGCAGCCAGGTTCTTTACCATCTGAGCCACCAGAGAAGCCAGTTCATTGAGACTATATCAGTTTTAGCACTGAAAGTTTCCTGTCACAAGAAACCTTACAGTCCAGAGCAAACAGGGATAGTCAGCCAAAACCCCTGTGCCCTAAAGAGGATGGAGGGGGAGGGGAGACCCAGCAGTGCTGGACAGACGTGTTCTCCACAATGCCTTCTCTCTAGTCAGGACTCCCTGGGAACCCAGACCCTGAAGCTCCCTCCTCCAAGGTGGCTAGACTCAGGAAGGGCCACAAGTGGCCCCTGGAGTCTAGGACAGAATCTGTGGGTGGCAGGGCCCTGGGGCTGTAGCTCTGATAATATTCCAGCCTGCGTCAGCTCTGGGGCCCGCCTCCTGCAATATTTGCTTAACAATCAGCCCAGAAACGGCATTGTTCAGGACAAAAATGAAAAACATTGGGCTGGGACTTGTTTTTTCTTTGGCGTCCAAATTCCTCTGGGCCCTTGGGAGGGGAGACAGTATCTCGGCACCGCCACCTCGAGGCCAGGCAGAACTCAGAGTTGGGACATTGGACACCGGGCTTCTGTTCCCACTTCTACCCCATGGGACTTGGCGCGTAATTCCTCAGTTTCTCCAGGTGCCCAAGAGAGGCAACTTTGCACTGGGAGTTGAATGAGGCAGGAAAATATTTGGTTGGGCTAAAATAGCTATCACCTTAAGTGTTTTATTGAAGCCCCCCCAGCTCTCCAGAAAAGTCTCATCCCCATTTTACAGATGAGGAAGTTGAGGCTCAGAGTACTCACCTGAACCAACATCAAAACCAAAGTCAATCAGAGGAGGTGAGAGAGGAAATTTTGATTTGGCATCTCAGGGGAGCCAGATACTTCCCAGAAATGGACCTTCTCTTCAAATGTTTGTTTGCTTGTTAAACACCTTTTTCAAGGACAGAGGAAGTGAGCTGGAGAAATGAGGGCAGGGGGACTTTGCCCCTTTCTCCAGAACTCTTGAGCCCTCAGAGAGTCTGGCCACCCTTGTCCGAGTACCAGCTTTACCCCAGTCCCACCCAGGAAGAGCCCAGCCTGGCAAGGACCCTCTGCCCAGCCCCACCAGGGTAGCCCCCCAGAGGGGGGGGCCAATCATGCACAGGAGGGGGAGGGCCTGGCTCACCT